CCCCCCCACACACACACACACACTCCCTCCCATCTCTGGGGCCTCAGGCCTCCAGTGGGGCCCCAGGCGGCCTTCAGCCCAGCTCTCTCTGCTGCTGGAGTATATTTCTTCTCCCAAACAAACAAAAGATGCAGTTGAAATGCTCAGCCTCACGCTTCCTGGGGGGGTGAATGGTGTCTTTTTATTTTTTCCTGAGGGGTGTTGATTAATACCTCGTTAACAGCGCATTTAACGACCTCCGGGTGTTTAATAACCTTCAGAAGTTTCCCACAAAGGCTGAGACACTGGGCAAGAAAATGAGAACCAGGCCCCAAGGCTGCTTCCCTTACCGCCCCCCCGCCCTCCAACACACACCACTGAGGTCTAGGGCCTCCCTGGGATGATGGGAGGGTAGAGAGGCTGCCCCCTGGTCCCCCAAGCTGCAACTCCTGTAGCTAAGAGCTGGACACAGCTCTTTCCAGCAGGACAGGGGACAGCTGGCTCCAGGGAAGGGGAGCACTCCTGGGATGGAGGGAGCATGTGAGCTGGGGTGGGGGTGAATGATTGCATGCAGGGACACCATCCCCTGGGCTCCCTACTCCTTCCCCTCCCCTTCCCCCTGTTCTTCTGGACTGCTTGGCCCTGAACCCCTCCCCCCAGCAGTGCTGAGCTGGAGTATGTTGGGAGAGGCCAGGAGGAGCAGGGCTCCCTGTGGGTGCTGGGTGAAGTGTGGGTGACAGTCAGGCTATGCTTCCCAGGGGCTCCGGACCCATTGGGCAGCACCAAGCCCCTCCCCCAAGACCATAGGAGTGGAAAGTTCCCTCTGTTATCATGCTGCCCCACCCCCTGCCAGTAGCCACCGCTCAGCGCTGCCCCCAGGATGCGTAGGACCCCCTCCTGAAAATAATGACTGTCAGGAAGATGCCCCTTTGGCACTGCGATGTTCCCATCACCACTGAGACCCAACCCTACGGGAGCTTGCTCTTCCTCCCACGAGGCCTGAGCAGACAAAAGGATGAAGCTTCCTGAAGGGAACTGATGGGAAATGGAGGTGGACTGGGGCCTGGGGCCCAGAGCAGGGGTTGGGGTGTGTGTGTGTGTGTGTGTGTGTGTGCAGTGCTTAGTGGCTGACTTGGCTAGTAGCAGCCAGTCTACTTCTTGGAAGGAAGCGAGCTGTGGAGTCTGAGGAGTATCGATTCAAATCCTAGCTTCGTCACTTAGTTGCTGTGTGACCTGAGGTAAGCAACCTCACCTCTCTGAGTCTGTTTCCCCACTGGCAAATTGGAAATAATCACAGCACTACCTTGCCCTCTGAGTGTGCTTAAAAAAATTGGTGGCCAGACCTGCCCATTTACCTGAGCAGCAAGAGTTGTGGGGCTCTGGTGCCAGTAGAACTGTGGCTGCAGGGATGAACGGGCAGGCTTCCCAGGCAGCCCCACGGCTTTCCTTTTCTGGCCCGAGTTGAAGCAAAGTCCGTAGATGGCCAGGGCAGAGAGGGGGCATCTGACAGGCCAGCCCTTCTCTTTCCCCGCCCCCACCCCGTGACCTAATGACCTGCCCCATGCCTCCCCAGCTCTATGGCTACTGCTACCAGGACAGCGAGGACATCCCTGACACCCTGACCACCATCACGGAGCTGGGGGCCCCTGTGGAAATGATCCAGCTGCTGCAGACGTCCTGGGAGGACCGATTCCGAGTGAGTGAGCAGGGGGGCCGAGGGCCCTGGGCTCCTGTCTCCTTTCTGGGATGGTTCTCCCTTAGAAGGCCAGCCCTCTGGAGCGGCCAAGGGGGAGGGAGGGAGGGGGGGAGGGAGGGGAGGAGGACACAAAGGCTGACTCAGCCAACAGGCAAAGGGTTAAAAAAAGCAGGCCACAGAGTCCTGACCCTGTATATTCTTGCTCCCCTCGGGCACACACTCACACACCCTTGTTCCCACACATATATACACCTTTGCTCACACACACATACACACACTCACACACACATACACACACACACACACGCACGCACGCACGCACGCACGCCTTCAGTCTCTGTAACACACACACATACCCTCGGTCCCTGATGCACACGCCCTCAATATCTGTAACATAAGCACACACACCACCTCGGTCTCGCTTACACACACACACACCCTGAGTCTCTGTAACATGCACACGCCCTCAATATCTGTAACATAAGCACACACACCACCTCAGTCTCGCTTACACACACACACACACACACACCCTCAGTCCCTGTAACATACACACACCCTCAATATCTCTAATACATAAGCACACACACAACCACGGTCTCTCTTAAACACACACGTGTACACGTGCAGTCTCTAACATATACATACACACAAGCAGCTGCCAGTGGCCAGTGTCCAGGACTAGAAAAGACCTAAGGTAACCTTTACAATCCCCCTAGGTCTGTCCTGAACTTAGATCACTTAAGAAAGACTCCCAGAAGGAGATTCATCCCACAGTCCCCTTAATCGTTGTCCTTACCAGGTCCAGCTAGCCAAGGGCTCGCAGGGAGTCCTGGACCCCTGTGTAAGACCCTTGCCCTCATCAGGCCTCAGCGAGCACCAAGGTCTACACAAAAGAGAGTCCAGCTGGAGCTATGCCTAGAACCCCAAAGGAGGGGGCACACCCTGGGGGTCCCCCTGGCCTCAGCAGGAGCAAAGCTTCAAGCAGCCCTTATGCTTGTCCCCGCAGATCTGCCTGAGCCTGGGGCGCCTCCTCCACCACTTGGCCCACTCCCCGTTGGGCTCAGTCACACTGCTGGACTTCCGCCCCCGGCAGTTTGTGCTGGTGGATGGGGAGCTGAAGGTGACAGACCTGGACGACGCCCGTGTGGAGGAGACGCGGTGCACCAGCAGCAGCGACTGTGCCCTTGAGTTCCCCGCCCGGAACTTCTCCCTGCCCTGCTCGGCCCAGGGCTGGTGCGAGGGCATGAATGAGAAGCGGAACCTCTACAATGCCTACAGGTGCCCCCGCGCCCCACCTATGAGCTCCAGCAAATGCTCGTGGGCCTGGGGAGCTCGGCAAGAGGGAGTGGGCAGGAGACCAGCCGAGCCCTGGAGACTTGCCTTGCCCTGTGGAGTCAGCAGAGGCAGGGAGGGGCCTCCCATCCAGTCAAGAAGGGAACATTCAGGCTCCTGGATGGGGAGGCTAAAAATAGTCAACCCCAAGGAGAATCTGGACTTGAGGGAGGGTGGGGGGGATGGTGGCAGCTGGAGGCTTCTTAAAATAGGCTTGGGCTCAGATTCTAGGGCTGGTGGGACCAGCATTGCCCTCACCTGCCCTGACCCTGGCCCTTGACCTCTGGGAAGCCCCTCACTGGGCCCTAGCTATAAGGGCTGTTCTGGCACCAGGATGATGTGGGATTGGGGAGGGCAAAGGGGTCCTATTCTTCAGGTTGCTGTGCTTACAATGTGCCAGGAAACACCATGGCAGCAGCTAAGCTGTGCCTGGTCACTGGGTTGTGCCTGGACGGGAAGCCAGGCTGGGCTTCTACCCCAGTTGGTGTAGAAGAAGGCTGACCTTGAGCCCTGGTTCCTTACCCCACAGGTTTTTCTTCACATACCTCCTGCCCCACAGCGCCCCGTCCTCGCTCCGGCCTCTGCTGGACAGCATTGTTAATGCCACAGGTGAGCACTCAGGTGGGGCCCAGGGCTCCTCCTCACCCTCCCTGCCCCAGGGGGAGCCTTCTGTGAAGCCCACTCCCCAGTCACCTGGGCCCAGATTCCAGAAGGGGTGAGGAGGGAGGAAGAGGCAGCTGGCTTACCTGCCTGGGGAGGGGCAGGAGCCAGACACCTTCCAGTAGCCTCACTGCTGTGCAGGAGAGCTGGCCTGGGGTGTGGACGAGACCTTGGCCCAGCTGGAGAAGGTGCTGCACCTGTACCGGAGTGGACAATATCTGCAGAACGCCACCACAGGCAGCGGAGCCGGTGAGTGGCCCCAGCAGAGGTCCCCGGGGCAGAGGAGTGCAGAGCAGGGGGGAGGGTATCTGGGCCCCCCTCATTGTTAACAGGTGGCTCACCCACCACTGGTTGCCAAAGGCCACTCTGATGCCACTCAGAAAGGCAGCTTAGAGGCAGCGATGCAGAGACTGCTGACCAGCCTCACCTCCACCTTTGCCCCTGGCTGGACTCAGTAATCACGGCTCTGCCTCAGACTGGGGGTGGGCACTGACACCCTTTTCTGGGTGACTCCAAATTCCATCACTTACTGGTTTGGGGACTTTGAACCCCATTGTCCTCATTGGTGAGTTGGGTCCAGTATCACCTGCGTCACAATACTGTTCTGGGGATTGCACGTCAGGTTAGGCACGTAAAGCAATTAGCTCAGTTCCTATTCCGAGCAGGATGTGGGCTCACTTCCTTCCTGCCTTCCCTACTGCCCGTCCAGGGCTTGGAGGGCAGTGTGAGATGGGGCCTGGCCACGGAAGGCAGGCCACGAGTTCTATGGTAGAAGGGTGGGTGGGGAGTGGGTCCTGGCTACTGGTCACCCACTGTGGTCCCTCCACTGAGGCCCTGGGGCGTAGCTGTGGTTGGCAGGGGCAATGGGGTGGGCAGCCTCCAGAGTCAGGGAGCCCTGGCCAGTCAGGTGTGGGGGAGCCCTCGTTAGCCCTGTAAATAAAGTTTAACGAGGTGAACAATAGCCGCCTCTGTCCCTGAGGACGCCGTTTATGGGGCTGTAAATCACAGCCCGCCTGGACTTTGGTCTAGTCCCTGGTAGGAGAAGGCGGCAGAGGGCGGGGTGACCAGCAGCCTGGGCTTCTCCGTTCTCAGGCCAGAGCTGGGGCTCCTGGGACAATGAGGAGAACATGGGCTGAACGGGAGACCTGCATCCGCACCCTGCCTGCTGATGAGGGGTCACAGAGCCTCCACTGGGCGCTTATAAAATGGGGAGCTCACAGGTTCTTCCTCCAGCCTCCTGCCCCCACACTCAAGCTGGCGATGCCCAAATGGTCATGTTGTTGGTGCTGGCCAGTCATTGTCATGCACTTAACATCAAGAGCCCCCACCAGCCCCAAGACCCACTTGAGGGGTTCCCCTGGCCTCTCTCCCCAAGGCTCCAGAGAAAACCCACTGAGGTCTGCACAGCGCCACCCAGGGTCTAACTTGGGACCTGGTTAGAAAGGGGTGCTCTCAGGCCCCCAGCCCAGACCTCCTGACCCAAAATCTGCATGTGCACCAGATTGCCCTGGTGGGTCGGGCGCACTGGGGGTGCGAGAGCTCAGCTCCAAATGTCCAAAATGCTCTGCTGTGCGCAGCCTGCCAGGACAGCGTGCGTGCGCCCTCATCCGTGCACCTCAGGTGAATCCTGAACCAACTGGGAGAGGTGTGTGCATGAAGGGTGCCCCTGGGTGGTGCCGGCAGTTAGCACGCTCCTTAGCTGTTGAGGCTGAGAGTCCACCCAGAGGTGCCTTCAGTGAAAGGCCTGGGGCTGGGCCTGTGAAATGCCAGTCAGGGAGAACCCCCACGAGGAGCCCCTGGGTGGCGCAGTGATTGAATGCTCAGCCGCAATCCAAAAGTCCGTCGGTTTAAGTCCACTCAGACCCAGCTCGGCAGAAAGCCCTGGAGACTTCCTCCTGGAGATGGACCTCACTGCCATCGAGCAGATGCGGACTCTTAGTGACCCTACGGGACAGGGTAGAACTGCCCTGTGAGTTGCCGAGATCGTAACTCTTCATGGAGTAGAAAGCCCTGTCCCTCTCCCCTGGAGTCTCATGGCCCCTGAAAGCCTCCCGGAGCCCCATTCTCCCGACACGTGCGGGGTCGCTAGGAGCGATGGGCATTTGGATGTCCCTTCCTAGCCAGCGTGCATATTCCCGTCTTTAAATTTTGCCTTTTTGTGAACAATCAGCCGTGCTTCTATCGTGAGTCTGCTTACCTCTCCGCCCTCCTAGCCCTCACCGCTTCCCTGTTCTCACTTGTGCCCCATCACCCCCCTGCCCTGCCCCCCGCAGAGTACCGACGTATCCCAGGCAGCACTGTCCCCCAGGACAACTACCACTGCTGGCCTTCCTACCACCACGGCGGCTGCCTGCTATCCGTGTTCAACCTGGCGGAGGCCGTGGACGTCTGTGAGAGCCACGCCCAGTGCCGAGCCTTCGTGCTCACCAACCAAACCACATGGACAGGTGAGCCGGGGCCAGAGGCCACCCCAATGCGGTGGCTGGGCTTCCCTGGATGGTCAAGGGGTTGTCAGGAGCCCTGCAGAAGCCAGAGGGGAGGCTGAGATGATGGGAGAAGGATTTGGGCATCAGGGTAACATTTTCCGTCCTTCACCCCTCACCTCTGCCTCTAGGCCGGCAGCTGGTCTTCTTCAAGTCGGGCCGGAGCCAAGTGGTCCCCGATCCCAACAAGACCACCTATGTGAGGGCCTTGGACTGACTTCTCTGAGAACCCAGCCAACCCACTGCCTGTCCATGCCGGCGAGGCCTGTCTGTGGAGGGAGTGACAGGCACCCGCCAGGCTCACTGTCACCTTGGAACCCCTGCCAGACAGACCGACATGACCAGGACAAATGTGCAATATTGCAAAATGTTAAAATGTGAGTTTACCAGCCTAGGCATGGACTGCTGGCCCCGGGGCTGGGAATCCAGGGGCGTTTGCCCACTTCTCCGGGCCTCCAAGCAGCACACAAGGCCCAGGCGGGCCTCCCCTGGGGGAGTGTGGCCCTCACTATGTTCGAGGGTGAAGCCAAAGCGCTGCTGCTGCTGCTGCTGCTGCTGCTGCTGCCGCCACACGTGCCAAAGCCGGGTGGGGCTGCGGGAGAACAATCGAAGCGCAGTGTTCTCTGAGCCAAGCTCCGCACAGGTGCCCCGGAGTGTAGGCAACTCTGGCCTCCTGACGGGCAGCCCAGGGGACCGTGGCAGAGGAGCACACAGCCGTATGAGCCAAGACGTGGGGCCGAGGAGCAGGCTGCGGTTTGAGCCAGGACCAGGGATGGGGTTGGGGCCGGGGCCTCTCTGCCTCATTTGCTTTCAGTGAAAGCAGCCGAGACCAGGCTCTCCCCTCCTGGAGTGTGTGTGTCCGGAAGCTTTTGTACTTCTTGTTCGGTAAATTGTTTATTTTTGTAAAAAATAAAAGAAAATATCATTCGGTTAATAAAACGATGGTTCTCCGCAAAGACTTCCCCAGCCCCGGCTTCCTGGGCTGTGACTTCCTCGTCCTGTCCTCCGTTAATCTTTGACTATGGTGACCAGATTTGAACCTTGGTAAAGCGGGACACCGTTGATAAAACTCATATCCTGGTGAAATAGCCACATGGCAGCCGAAAACCATGTACCCTAGCTTGTCGTGCGTTCTTTCCAGAAATCGGGACTGTTTTAAAACGCCGTGGGACGCAGGAAAATTTGTTAAAAATCAGGACTGTCCCGCCAAAAGCGGGACGTCTGGTCACCTTATCTTTGACGTGTGTCTGGGGGCAAAGGGCCAGTGGCATCAGTGGCAAAGCACTGAAATCCACAAAGCCAGTTTTCTGGTGGTGTGGCGGGTGATATGCTGGACTGCCATCGGCAAGGGGAGCACCTGGCTCTCGGAGGGAGCACGATGAGGCTGCCTCCTCCCATAACCTTGACCGCCTCGGGAACCCCAGGCTGCCCCTTTGGGTTGCTGTGAGTCAGCATTGACAGCTGGTCTCCCTTTGGGGTTCCAGCAGTGCCCCGCCCTCCTCAGCCCTCCACATTCACATCCTTACATGAAGAAGTTTGCACTTTCGTATGCCGCTTCTGACAGCCAAGGTCTCCGTTCAGAGGCCTACTGCCTTTGTGGCAGCCAGGAGAACCTGCTTCAGGAAGGCAGTCATGGAAGACACCTGCAGCCCCCACACCGGACAGCACAGCTCTGCCTCCCCGCCGCCCACAGATCCTGAGAGCACCCTTCTGTTTGGGACTCTCTGAGCAGGAGAGAGACGGAGCGTGGGGAGAGAGGAAGGGCCGTGTCAGGACCAGCACCCTCTTTCTGGACTTGAGAGGGTTGGGGGAGGAGGGTTTCTCGCCGTCCAAGTGTGTGCGTGCAGAAAGAAACTGGCCTGACGGTCCAAGATCACATGGAGGCTGGAGAGAGCCCCAACATGAACGCAGATATGTGACTCAAAATCTCCTCCCCTTCTCTTTTAGACCCGTGGCTTTCAGAACATTCTTACAGAATGCAAACTTGAGAGGCCTTTCGGATAGGGTCCGACTTTATCTTAGAGCCCATGTTCTCCTCAGTGAGTGTGGTGGCTAGAATGGGCCCTGCAGTCACTGAGGTGTCCGCAGTAACCCTGGACTCCTGGCTACACTCGATGCTCTCTCTGACCGGCCGTGTTCTGAGGCCCAGGGAGACCCAGGTTGCAATTCACCATCACCACTCCCAACTGACCCCCAATACCCTGCCTGCCCCTGGCTGTCCGAGCTTCCTGGTCGCAGAGGAAGGCTCTCTAGTGAGCTTACCCCCGACACTCTCTTTGTCAAACCTTGTGTGTGTGTGTGTGTGTGAATTGGGGAAGGTGTACCGAGCAGATTGTCAGCTTTTCATTCAATAATTCACACACATGGTGTTTTCTCTCATTCACCGCGACCCTCAAAAGGGGACATCCCTTAGCCCACTGCATCCCTGTATTCCCTCTCTCCCTATATTCCCTATCCATTCCTCAAGCTTCTCCAAATCCACTGGACTTGGTCCTGAGGTAAATGCTACCTGTTTTTTTAAATCTCAGCTGGTGATTCTAAGGTGTGCACACTTCCCCAGTGTTAGCGTTCCCCCTTTTAAACCTCTCTGTGGTTTGGTTAAAAATGGAGCCATGGAGTGAGTTCAGTTCATGCAAGGTGATGATGCCAGTCTCTATCCAATCGGCAAACCTGCTTTTTGGGGTTTAAAAAAAATTTTTTTAAATGATTTTGAGTTTTATTCCACATTTTTATCCCCCTCTACCCAGGACCTTTCTGGGCAATGGGGGCAGCTGGGCACCATCTAGTTCTTGAAGGCTCCTTTCAACCAAGCCAAATCCTCACTCCTCCGAGGAAGACTCCCCAGTCCAGTGCCAGGCTCTGGCCTTGGTGACGTACAGATGTCAGTCCAGAGTTTCTGACGAGGAAACTGACACCCAAGTTCCAGTTGCTAAGGAATTCCAGAAACACTCACACCCAGCCCCCTGACGTCAAAACCGGTGTTGTGTACACCCCGGAGAGGAAGGAGATGCAGCAGAGCTTGGGGGAGGCCCGCCTGCGTTTCAGTGCTTCGACTCTGCCCTTACTTGGATACCCTAGCACAGAGGTCCAGGGGACATAACACTTTCCAAAAAGGAGCCAGCCACAGGGGTCTGGAGTAAGGATAGGTAGCATTTTCCATGTGCGTGGGGCGGTGGGGAGGGAGGGTGGGAGGGCAGTAAGGAAGCTTTGCTTCTGAACCGATTTCTTGGGCCAAAGTGAGCCAGGCTCCGTTCTGGAGGAGAGAAGGGAATGCTTTCATGGAAACTGGAACGCAGAGGCAGCAAGATGGCCAGAAAAGAAGAAACAGGGCTGATCTGGGGTAAAAGGCTTCCTCCCCTGGAATGGCCATTTCATGTTGCCGCCTGTCTCTCTGGAGAACTTTCTCAGGTCCAGGGTGTGTCTACTCCCTGCTCTGGCTCAGGCCAGAGCCTCATTCCCCCTCACTACCACTCCTGCCTCACCCGAGTCTGCCTACTTCCCTGCACGATGAACGGCATCCAGGCCTGGGGGCAGAAGACAGACACTCGCTCCATTGAAGTCTCAGTGGCAACTGTCATGTGCCAGAGGGCAATGGTGGGGAGAGGGATCTGTTTGGGGGTAGGGGAAGCAGGGGCCAGCACAAGAAGAGCTGAGCTTATTTGTGGGCCCCCCACAAAGCTCTGGAACCAGCCAGAGCTAGAGGCAGGACGCCAGACAGTCCTGCTTTGGGTTCGCTGTGTGATCTGGGCCATGGTGCCTGAGCCCCCACGTCCCCACCTGCAAGTCTCAGACGGATAGGGTCTGTCTCGAAGGAGTGCCGTGGGATCTAACAGAAAGAAGGTGCGTGAAGTTTTTAACTGATGTTAGCGGGCAAGGGCTTAGGAGATACTGAGGCTGACATTATTAGCGAGCTGAATCCCCAACCTTCAGCGAGGACCCGAGGCACGGGTCAGACCACGCCTCCATCCCCACCCCAATTGGGAGCACGATGTTGGAAGGGGAGCCCGGCTCTCTCCGGGTCAGTGCCCTGCGAGCGGTACTGTGTGGCAGACAGAAGGAGGAAAAGGATTAACAGGAGAGCAGAAAATGGGATTAGGCAGCTCAGCATCATGTGCCCGCCCAGCCCCTCCCCAGCCATGACAACGGCGTGTGGCGTTCACTCTGTGCCTCTGAGGTCCCGCAGACCTCCAACTGGGTTGTCCCTGCTCCTCTCCAGACAGAAGGGAGATTCCACGGACTCCAAGTCTGAGGCCATTCCATCTGAGGCCAGCTACAACCTGGCAGACCTGGGCATCTTGACGTGTGATATCTCATGGACTGCTCACAGAAACCCTGGGTGGGGTGTCACCCGGGGTGGGAGAGAATCGTGTTCAGGGTCCTTCACTCGCCGGTTCAGAGGCAGGATTCGAGCATAGGCAGTGACACCTGAAACCCCATGTCCCTTCCCCTCCACCCAGCTGTCTCACATAGGAGCACAGCTACGTCCTGAGCCTTTGGGGGCACGATCTATGCATGCCAGCCACTCTGTCGGGCAGGCTTTCCACACCCAGCCCTTGCCTTCCCTGGGAAACCCAAAAAGCTATGGGAGAAACCAGCCCGGCTGTTCTGGCAACATCCCAGTGGAGTTAGAGGTCCCCAAAGAGCCCATCTTTCTTTAAGGAAGGACCCCCAGGGTCTGTCCTGTTAGTTATATTCCATGCCGCCAAGTCAACTTTGACTGACAGTGACTCAGAGTGACAGAGTGGGACCCCACCCCGGAAGGATGTCTGGGCTGATCCTTCAGGGAGCAGACCCCAAAGCAGAGCCACGGGGTGGGTCTAAGCAGCCCGCTTCTCTGTCAGCCAGGCTCAGGGCTCCTCTGAAGTCTGTCCTGTAGGATACGCCGTCTTCCCGGTTCACCTCTCTACAAATCCCAGCAGTGCTGCCTGCTTGGGTGGGACAAGTGTCATCAGCATCATTCTGGGCCGCGTAAAGAAAACAGATGGCTCAAGCTCCGGAGGATCCCAGACCACAGTGTTTGGGGAGCTTTCCTTCGCTTACTCCCCTCCACAAGCCCGGATTCCGCCACTTTCTGCCTTCTCCCTTCCAGACTGTGAGCCCTCGTCTCTCGGGTCCTGCCTGCCCCCTCCCCCCCCGCCCCCCGCCCCAGCCTCCACCTGCATCTTCTCACATGCCCTCCCCTGACCTCCCTCAAGCTTCAGAAAGTCTCAGTAGAGAATAAGTGTCTAGAAAAGAATGATGGCAACATATCTACAAATGTGCTCGATACAGTTGATGTATGGATTGTTACCAGAGCTGTAAGAGCACCCAATAAATTTTTTTTAAAAAAGGAAAGAAAAGAACATGGTAGACTCTTCGAAAAAAGAAAGTCTCTTCTGAGACAAGACCTCTTAGCTCTCTGAGTTAGGTCCCAATGGGAAACGGAGAGAATGCTTCACAGCTGATGTATGAGGGGCTTCAAGAAGTTCCAGGGAAAATATTCCATTCGTTTTCATTCCATTTCCCACAAACCTTTGGGGGCTCTGAGAAGCACCCTGCAGGACAGTGCTGGGAGCCGGGGCTAGCAGCTGAGCTGTTACCATCCCTACCTGAGGGAGTGGAGTCAGAACAGTGACCAAGGGACACAGCCAGACAAGGACATGAGTTCAAACCCCCCCACTGTCCAGTTAAGAGTGGAATGTGTAACTCTTCAAACAAACGAACTCCCTGTCATGAGTCACATCTGACTCACAGGCACCCTACAGGTCAGGGCAGACTTGCCCGGTGAGTTTCTGAGACTATTCTTTACAAGAGTAGAAAGCCTCCTCTTTCTTCTTTTTTTTAAAAGATGATTTTATTGGGGGCTCTCACAGCTCTTAGAACAATCCACACACCAATTGTATCAAGCATATTTATACATATGCTGCCATCATCATTTTCTAAACATTTACTTTCTATTTGAGCCCTTGGTT